GCTGTTTCTGGACCAGCCTCTGGCCATGGCAGGCCCAGGCTTGTAGGGGTCGGGGGGGAGGCAACTGGCTTGAAAGCCAGCTCCCTGTGTGTATTGATTGGCTCCAGTCAATCCCTCCCCCTCTGCGTTGCTGCCTCTCAATCAGAGGGCAGCAGCAATGGGGGGGCAGGAGGGGCAGGCAGATCTGGTGTTTGTGGGGAGCGGGCTTTTAAGCTAGCTCCTCCTGGACACCGGCTCCCATTCTCCCTTCCCTCCTCCTACCCCCCCATTCCCTTGCTGCCACTGATACAGAGGCAGCAAGGGGGGGAGGGGGAATGCATATAGTCAACAAGATGAACCAATAAGCCCAGGCTTATTGGTTCATCATTAGTCATCTACACATTGACATCCCTAGTGAATATTATACCTGTTCTCCCTCCCTCAAATGATACATTCCAGAGGAATGGAGGGAGCTCTATTGTTTCCAAAGAGGCATTTAAAATAACTTAGGCCACACAGTGTAAGTTGCTCTTGTTCTGCTCATGAATTACATTTCTTTGCCGCTTATGCTGTAAGGCACCGTGTCTCCAGGTGGTCCAGTGTCTTATTCTCCTCAAGTCAGGGCTGTGGCGAAAAGTCAAGAGGGCCATTAACTGTTCCATTTTCAGCTCACTCAGAACTGGGGAGCTACCATCTTGCTGCCCGTTAGTGAATTAAGACCTGAAAAAACTTGCTCTCCCCATTCAGTTGCATGGGAGAAGCAAGGTGGTTTGACCAGGGTTTTTACTGTTTTGTTTTAAGTTGGACTCTTTATGGAAAGAACATATTTCATTGTGTAGCTTTGCACAGGAAGGGTCATGGGAGGGAAGCCAGTAAGAAGAGCGGAGGGAGCGTGGCTACTGCCAGTGAGGGGTGAATCTGAAAAAGTCTGGTGGAAAAGCAAGGCTGGGAAGAAATGTAAGTTTCTAGTGAGTGAGATTGGAGAGCTTGGGCAGGGAGCCTGGCATTTGAGCAAAGCTTAGGCTAAAGTTCGACTGATTTTGAGGCATACAGAGGTTTTAGGAAACAGTTTGATGGAAGCTTTAAAGACCACGTGTAGCCCTGGTGGATAGAGCCCTGGATCAGGACACTGGTCTATTCCTGGCTCTGTCATTAGCCGGCTGGGTGGCTTGGGCAAGTCTGTGTGCCTCAGTTTCTCCATCTGTAAAGTGAAGACAGTATTGACTTTCCTAAAGTGCTTTGAGATCTGCTGATAAAAAGCTCTATCTAGAAGAGCTGGATTTTATAATTATTAAGGAAAAGCAAATAGAGCTAAAGGGAGGGTAAAAGCAAAGCGAAGTGTTTATGGGTAGGTGGGTGCTCTTCCAAAACCGGTTCATACTTGCCTAAAAACAGCAGCATTCCAAGACCTCCTTTAAACTTAGAAAACAAGTGGACCTGGTGTGCCATTGCCACACGTAGTCATTTTTCCCAGCGCAAAGTCAATATGAAATGCCACCATTCTGATGTATCATTTACAGAGTGGGTGTAAAATGCTTACACCAAGCAAAGGTGTTTGTTCTTTCAAAGTTCTCTCTAACAGTAGCCACCACAGGCTACGGACCCAGCCAAAGGAATATTCCTACTTCTTCAGGAACTTCTATAGCTTGGAGATCGTGTGTATGCGATTATTTTTATGGAGAATTTTGATGACACCTCGCAGGAATTTTCTCTTAATATCTAGTGACGTAACAGAAATATTTGACTTGGGTAAAATGCACTGCACAACATGTGCCAGATGAAGAATTGTATTGGGTTTGGCACCATTTGCGCTGTTGCTTGCTCCTTACTGGTGACCACTGAATGTAATCAGATATAAAGATATTTGTAGAAAGAGAATAGACACCAGGGATGTAAAGTCCCATTTATTTGGGTAACCAGTTAAGCATATTGTTTAACTGGTTGGCCTATTAAAGTAGGGTTAGGTGGGGAGGCCAATGGAGCAGCTCCTATCTGTGGCACCCTTCCCACCCCCACCCCCCTCCTCGTGAGGCTGAAGCGTGGGGAGCTGCTCCAGCCCCCACCAGTTAACCTTAACTGTTAACTCATCTCACCCGTTAAGGTTAAACATTCACATATGTAATAGGCACCCTTTCTGAAAGGAAAGCATAGAACCCTCTGGCTCCTAGAACACAAGTTAACATGAATCTGTATTTCATTTTTCTATTAAGCATTCCAGAAGCTCATCAAATGAGGGACAGGGGGGAGATGAAGTAAGCTTTGGAAACCAGACATAGAATTTTCAGCAATATCCATATCTAGAAAGGACTGAAGCTTGGAACAACAAATGAGAGTAGAACAGGAAATGTTTAGTTAGACGCAATCAGGTTATTTTCTTTATTTTGAGGTTTGGTTAAATTCTGTGCCCTTCCCCCCTCCCAGGGACGGACACACGCACATACAATAACAGAATTGCTTCTCTGGGATTCAGTTTCACTGTGCCCTGGGACATTGAACAACCAAGTATGACTTACCAATTTGTTTTGTTAATAAATTTACTTCTTTTAAGACTATGATCTGTTTCCTAGAAAGCAAAAGATTCTGTGTGCATGTGCCTGAGACTTAAGGTCTGCTGTTAGGAGTTAGTTAGTTTCAAGCTCTCTTCTAAGGGAGAGTTAAAGAGGTTGGAGGTACCCCACCAGAAGAAATTCCCAAATGTGTATTCCTTGGTTCCAAAAGGGGGGGTTACATTTGGATGGTAGCAGCGTACCCCCAAAGTCAGGGAATCTGTGACCTTGGGTTTTTTTAAACAGAAGATCTTAGTGACAGGGTATTTAAGGTCTCTTACAGGCCCCCTCCTTCTGCAGCTGAAGTGCCAGACCAGGGAACAGCTTTGACAGTGACGAAGACAAGATCCCCACTCTTGAGTGTGGGAGTGGCCATATAAGTCCTGACCTTCCATAACAGTGGGAGCTGGGTGACAAAAATGGAAGTATCTTCAGAAACTGACACTTGAGGACTTCAGAAATTCAGAGTTTGTGGTTAGAATTATAATTAAATCTGCACTAAATCTGGAGTTAAAATGTTGAGGCTTATGAGGAATTGGATTTAATAAATAAGCTTTTTTTCTGGTAAATATTTACAATTCATGAGTAAAGAACTGAGTTTCTGGACTTTTGTATAATGTTAGTACAGAAAATAACCAGGAGTTTAACTTAAATGGAAGTTTGGGGAAGATGAAGATAGGAACTAATGACTGGTGTGGAAAAGGTAAAGTGTTATTTACTCCTCATAACACAGAAGTAGGGAGTCACCAAATGAAACTACAGGCAGCAGGTTTAAAACAAACACAGGAAGTGTTTTTTTCATACAACACAAGAGTTTGTGGTTAGAATTATAATTAAAATTCAATTTTTTATGAGAAAACTGTTCACCAAATTTGGTAGGAAGTGTTTTTTTCATACAACACACAACCTGTGAAACTCCCTTCCAGAGGATGTTGCAAAAAAATAAGACCAGTTCAAAAGAGAATTAAATTACATTCATGGAGGATAGGTCCATCAATGGCTATTAGCCGGGGTGAAAGGGATGGTGTCCCTAACCTCTGTTTGTCAGAAACTGAGAATGGGTGACTAGGAATTAATCGCTTGATTCATTCTGTTCTATTCATTCCCCTGCAAAAAAAACACCAGGGAAAAAATTCTGTTGGGGGGGGGGGAAGAGGAGGAGACCAAAGTTGTTGACCTAATATAATTTAAAATTAAAAAATAAAAAAAAAAACAGCGTGGGCCCTTTAAGAAATGTTTTTGAGGATTTTTGGCCCTAACGGGCTGCCGGCTGCCATCTTGTCTTGGGCTACATAGGCCTTTGGTCTGACCCAGCATGGGCATTTCTATATTCTTATAGCAAGTTTTAAAAAGGATCAAAGCTTCAGATATTGGAATCTACAGAATAATAAAAGCAGAGGCCATTCATACAAATGCACAGTAATTTTCAGACCTGAATAAAATATCATTAAGGGTAAAATCTAAACAGTATTAAAAGAAATGGACAATAACATTACTAAACAATGTGCTCCCCTGCAGAACCAGGTAAGCACCCTAGATTTTTCGCCTCTTGACTGGGAAAAAAAATCAGAAAATACCGAACATTTTAGGTGTCCGGTATTTTCTGAATTTTTTTACTGGACAGGAGGCGAAAATACCGGACTGTCTGGGTCAATATCGACACCTGGCAACCCTATGGCCAAAACTTTGCTAATACAAAGCAAAGCTAAGCTGGGAGCAAGAGGCAGGCCCCTGCTCACAGAACTTTGCATGAACAGAGCTGATAGTATAAAACTCTAAGGGTAATAGGCCCGGGTGTAGAACAGTAATTGGTACTAGGTATTCTCTGTAAAACAGTAATTGGTATGGGGCAGATGGTAGAAGGATGGTAACAACACCTCATTAAAAAGGACCTTGGTACCCACCCTCCCCACAGATAACAGGAAAGGGTCTATAATGACAGCAAGATGGATAGATGTTCTGATGGAACCAGGAGGCGCAGGGTGGTAGCTAAGTCATGTCAGAGGTGGCAACCTGATATGCCAGGACTGATGTGTAACTTGTTTGTATCTTGACACCTGTATATACAGTTGTGTCTTGTAGGGGCTGTCTTTTCCTGCCTCGGAGGCAGCATCTCATTCCTGGCACTGATTGCATCCTATCCATTGTCAGGGGGGACATATG